GGGGCTGAAGCCAATCACAGCTGATATTGAGTGTGAGGCAGGGTCCACCCTGGACAGGTCGCCATTCTGTCACAGGGCTGACACTTAAAGATAAACACCCACTTCCAGTCCTACATGAAATTTAGAGTCACCAGTCAACCTAAGCTGCATGTCTTTGGACTGTGGGAGGAAGACAGAGTACCTGGAGAGAACCCACGCAGGCACAGGGAGAACATGCACACTCTGCACAGAAAGGCCCCAGGTCGGCCTGGGATCAAACCTGGAACCTTCTTGCTGTGAGGTGACAGCACTAACCACCGTGCTGCTGTGCCGCCCCCAGAAGAACTACATATATATTTAATTATTGATTTGATTGAGGTTCTTTTACTGTAAAACACACTTTGTATGAATATAATTGGCAAATAGAAACCGTTGATATTTTTTAAAGCATCATTTTTCTTTTGGTGCCTTTTGGTGGTGAAAGTGAAAAGCTCCTCAGATCAGCTACGCTCATCTTCATACAAACTGTTTCCAGGACTATAAATGATGACCCCAGCACTCACTCTTGTCCTTCTGCTTGGCTCTCCCTCTGGCAGCTGCTTTATTTCCAGTGATAGCAGCAAGCTCAGCCTCCAGATCTGGGTCGTCCAGGTTCTCGTCCATACCAATCATCTCCTCAGGGTCCAGATTGACAAACAGACCCATCTGAAACCAGGAAGGTAAAAGATAAACTCAACACCCTGACAGCTGTTGGGAAAACATTACGATGAGCATCTTCAACCCAGTGGTGAAAAGTAACCTATTCAATAACGTACTGTAGTTAAGTATAATTAAGAGGAACTTTACTTGAGTATTTATACTATTTAATTCTTCCACTTCACTGCAGTTTAGCAAGAAAGAGGGTACTTTTTACTTCTCCTGATGCCCAGATCTGAAGCTTTGGTACCAAACCAGATTTATCTTGAGATCATCTGGAGGAGCAGCTGAAGGCGATCTGTCACAAGCACGATTTATAATTCGATATATTTTTAATAACTGCATTTTTGTTTTGTTGATACAAACTTAAAATGTATGAGCTCACATCTACTACAGGGACGGAAGTTGTACTTCAAACATTGTTTTTAGTGTCATTCACAAACCTGGTTCCTATTCTGCTTGAAAAGCCACTGTAGATATTTTCAAATGAAATCTTAAAACCTATTTTTTACTCTCACTTATGTGTTGCCTGACCAATACTGTATGAATTCTACGTTATATCCTAAATAATAATAGTTATTAAAAAGATTAAGGGTTCATCTTGCAAATTAATTTGTAAATTCAGGAGTAGTGTAAATAAAAATGAGTGCGCTCTTAATTTGGAAGCATATTTTGCTAATAAGACTTATTTACTTGTATTTTGGTTGCATTTTAAATGTAGGACGTTTTCTTATCATTTTTACACTGGTGCACTGGGACCTGAAGGGTCTGAGCATCTCTCCCATCGCTGCTTTTGTCTAAAATGAACGTTTCTCAGAGTTGGTGTTACCTGTTTGGCTGCAGCAGCGCCCTGGCCTTTGGGCTGCGGTGCTCTCTTCTTTTTACCAAACATGCTGCTGTTGTGTCTTGTTCTCTAACAAGCCGCTAAGCCACACTCCGATGATTCAAACTATCCCTAAAACACAAACACGTTAAGAAAAGCGGCTTTTTCTGCAGGTGATTGATTGTAGCAGTTAAAATCATGTGAGCGGTTGTCAGGTGGTTCTCCAACAGCGACTGGTAACGAGCTGCTAGCTATTAGCTAACCATGTTTTTGCCTCTAACTCGAAAAGTTTACTTACGAGCAAGAAGTTAACTATTGCCGCCGCTGTTAGCATGTATCCCAGAGAGCTTTAACACGAAATCCCTTTGTGTCCTTACCTCCCCGATTGGCACTTTATCACGTAGCTTTCAGGGGAACAGTTTCATTTCTGTGGTTTGACATGTTAACGGGTGTTTGACTACGCATGCGCAAAGGGAAGGGGCGTGTAAGGCTTCTTTAAAGATTTTCCCCCAGTTGTGTCTGCCAGGCAGGCACCGACTCCCAGTGTACGAATATATAACAAGCACATACAGTATATGGATGAAGTCATTGATGGAATACTGAACGGGCCAACTGGGTACAGGGCCATGGGCTCAAGGGGTCAAAGATCCCCTGCAAGAAAGATCCCACCTGCAAAATATCCCAGAACGGCACACAAAAAAATGGCCAAAATGAGGAACTAAACAACCAAAAAGTGGTAGATTTTTGCAGAATCAGAAATAATGCTTTCTATTTGTGGTAGAAACTGGATTTTTCTGCTTCCTTTCAGTACTCACTGACAGAATTGCATGCTGCTTACGAGGAAGTCTACCTGACAAACCAAAACTGGAGCAAAAAGACCAAGTTTAAAACAACTATGAGTGCAACTATGCTGCTTTATTGTTGTGTCTCACTAAATCTTGCGAACTGTTTGTTCTATCTTTTCTAACAGGGGAAAACAAAAATGCAAACACTGCTTTGTAAACAAAGGATATTTAGTTTATGAAAATACACAGAATATGAACGATAAGTGATTAATAACAACTTATATTCCTATCATGATATCAGTCTACATCAGGAAGTTTTAGTTTAGTTCTGATGTTTAATGCAGACATAATCTAATCCAGATGTCTTTTAAAAATCATACTAAATGGAGATGATGTTAAAGTGTAACAAAAACATAGGCAAATTTGTACTGGACAGCTGACAGTCTGTGTGGCACGACATTACAAATCCCTGTTGTTGCTGCTCAACAGTTTAGGGAAGGATGTGCCGATAAATCGCCCATGCCGGTACACAACAAGCTCCAGCATATACTCGTCCACTTTCACCACCACAGACGTCATCTTCTCAGTCGACATGAGGAAGAGGACAGTGAAGACAGCAACCTCAAACTCTGGACTAACCCCAATGAAGGAGCTGCCAACCGGCTTTACCAAGCCCTTCCAACTGAACTGCAGGTTCAGAACATGGTCGTCTTCATCAGGCTGTAAAACAGTGTCAAAAACCGTTCATTTAGGAATTCATCCATTTATTTATTTGCTGTTCAGTAATAGCACTATTATTGTGGTTATATGCTAGCATTTAATTGATTCGGCTTTACAGGAAAAAACTGCTTAATATTTTCATAATGCATTGGGTGGCACAGGATTTCCTTACTGTGTCTTTGTTGGCTCTTGCTTTGTAGCCTTTGTAGTCAACATTGCCAAGTTTTTCCTGCATATAGAAGTGAACCCAGTTGTGAAGACCTATGATCTCCTTCCCAAACTTGGTTTCTCCAACAAACACATGTTCAAATCCACAGGAATCCTCACTATAATAAAAATAAAGCCAGTATTTCAACAATACGTTTACTGTCTCCATGCATGTCCTCATTCATCTTATTAGAGCTTTGTTTCCTTATTTGAGGTGTCTACAGTTCAAACAAAAGAAAGGTGACACAACCTGTTATGCTCTTTTACAAACCAGTCCCATTTTAAAAACATACAAATTTAACACAGGAACTTGATGTTTCTTTTTGTATAACCGACAGAAACAACAGGAACTATTTAACTTATCCAGTTAAATGTATTATCTAGTGTGAAAGTTTGCTTTGACCTTGGAAATAACAGTTTGACAGGAAAAAAAAACAAACTTCACTCTGATGGTCACTTTTCAAACCATCTTCCAGATCAATTTTCAGACCATAAGATGGGAGAACATCTCCTGAATTACTAATAAATGAACCTTAAAACTGTGTTTTTGTCAAAGATGTATTCTTCCTTAGATATAAAACAACTGTATTTATCTGAAAACTCTTCTTCTTCCACAATGTGTATATATTTATAAATAGATTCTTTTTGTCTCTTCTGTTTTTTTTTCTTATTTAAACACATTTTCCTTGTTGCCTTACAAAGCACAGTACCAGAGTCAAATTCATTGTGTTCAATAACTACATTTTTATAGCTGTTACTATAATAACAATAATAATTTGTCTCCATGTTAACCAACTCAGCTGCTGGAAACCTAAACCTGGTAAAGACTGACATCCATGAATCATTCTGTAGATGATTACCTGTGTTCTTCCCTCTGACCTGAAGGCCAGTCTCTTCACATGCTACAGCCGCTCCCCCTGCTGTTACAATGAAACTCACCCTCCACCTCTTTCCCGGTGATAGAGGCGAAACCAGATGTCATACAGCTGTCTCTTGAACTGTCCCAGGTCTGACGGCGATTGTCCCTTCTTGACCAGATATTTGTGAGCACACTATATAGAAACAAAATAAATAACACGTCAGTGGATGATGCAGTTAACATGGCACTGCATTACATTCTTCAACACCTCGACTCCCCAGGGACCTATGCACAGGCCCTCTTTGTGGACTTCAGCTCAGCATTCAACACCATCATCCCAGACATCCTCCACTCCAAACTGACCCATCTCACTGTGCCTGCCCCCACCTGTCAGTGGATTACTACCTTTCTGACAGACAGGAAGCAGCAGGTGAGGCTGGGGAAAACCACATCCAGCACCCGGACAATAATCCCCTCTGCTATTTTCACTCTACACCAATGACTGCATATCGAAGGACTCCTCTGTCAAGCTCCTAAAGTTTGCTGATGATACAACGGTAATTGGTCTCATCCGAGATGGTGACAAGTCAGCCTACAGATGGGAGGTTGAACAGCTGGTCCTGAGGTGTAGCTGCAACAACCTGGAGCTGAATACACTCAAAACAGTTGAGATAACAGTGGACTTCAAGAAGAGCCCCCACCTTACCCCCCCTCACCATACTTGATAGCAAGGTAGCAGCACTAAAGTCCTACAAGTTCCTGGGCTACACTATCTCCCAGGACCTGAGGTGGACATCCAACATCAGGACCATCACCAAGACAGCACAGCAGAGGATGAACTTCCTGCACCAGTTCAGGAAGTTCAACCTGCCCCAGGAGCTGCTGATACAGTTCTACAGAGGAATCATCGAGTCTGTTCTCTGCACCTCCATCACTGTCTGGTTTGACTCAGCAACCAAACAGGACAAATACAGACTTCAGCGGACAGTCAGGACTGCAGGAAAGGTCATTAGTAACCCTCAGTGCAATACCTGTAAATATACCTCGTACAGATTATAGAGACTTGTATAGGTCTCTAGTTCTTAAGCACTCTGTTTTATCCCTATTTATCTCATTTCAATGAACATTCATTTGTTGTCTGCATTGTTTACTGTCTGTTTATACTGCTTTTTCTGCATTGTTTGCACTGTTATTGATGTTAATACTGCTATTTTGTTATATTACACAACCTTATGCTGGTTTACTGTTTGCACATTGAGAGCCGATGTACCAGAGTCAAATTCCTTGTGTGTCCGTCACGCCTGGCCAATAAAGCTGATACTGATTCTGAACATTGCTCAAAGAAACAATAAAAAGTATTCTGCAGGTAGAAAAATAGAACATAATGACAATTATGTGTTTATCAGGCTACAAACACTAAGATGTTTACCATGTTAACCTGGTAGAGATGACAATGTTTTGAACTGTTTCCAAGGTCTAGAATGAACTTTCAAACCAAAATGGGTGAGCAATTCATAAAGTGCCCCACACAAGTACAGTATATCACAAAAACGGTATGGATGCATATATATTATATTTTATAGCTGCTTTAGATAATACTAAATCCAAATTTATTTAAAGGAAATACAGTATATTATATCATTGTGAGTGGCATTTTTTGCTGACATGTGAGGTTTTTTTTTTAAACTTCTGCTATAGTTTTATATCATGTACATTGTTCGTTTGATAACTTTAGTTTACCAAACTACATTTCTCTCTAGAGTAGCTTTCAAATTCTTTACATGTAATAACTGATGCTTGGTTTTCTATGAAGACAACTTCACAATAATTTCAGATCCTCACTAAACACCTTGAAACCACACTGAGAGGTAACAAGGTATGTAAACACCTACTGTGTAGTAACAGGGTGCTGCACCTTTGTTTGAGCAATCTGTGTTGACAGATGTGTCTCAGACATGACTCCCTTTCTTAAACTTACTGTACCTTCATGACAGCTGTCTCCAGTATGGCATCGATAAACAGCTTGTTCTCTTCCACCTCCTGTGAAGTGACGGTCTCTGATACACCCGTGGGCATCTCAAAGTTGTCCAGCAAGTTCATGAAACCTGCACAAAAAGGACATGTGCTTGTTAAGAATATAGAAACTACTGTATAAGTGTAATGAGTGGAGGGACATAAACTGCTACTTACATGCATACGTCTTAATACTCTTGAGTTTGTCTTCATTGACATATTTGAAGAGCGGAGCACTGGCCTTGTCTCTGGCATTGTTACTGCCCTGAGCCACATAACCAGCTTTACCCTGAATAAACAGATGGACACCAACATATCAAGGCAGGAAAACTGACTCATCCATTGTACAATCTAAGCATGATGGAGCCCTAACATCACAGTGGCTTAGACATAGCGCTGCTTTGCATTAAATGCTAACATCTGCATCCTTACATGCTCATAATGACAATGTTAGCACGTTCATGTTTAGCAGGTAGTGCAAGAATGTAGACATAAACTGAAGAATTTAAAAATAAATCATTTAAAATTTTTGAGCTGATGATGGTGCGAGATGAAAAGTTAAAGGAATCAACAAAGTCATTACAGTTTATCTTGAGGAGAACATAAATATAAAATGTGAAAAACTTATTAATCTTTGGCATCATAGCAAACAAAATACCAAACATTCACTGGATGCAGCCTCTCAAATGTGAGGTTTTGCTGCTAATTGTAAACTGAATATGAGTGGAACAGTTAGACAATAAAGTCATTTGAAGATGTCTCCTTGAAATTTGTTATAAATGTAATAATTAATAGATAAAGTGTTACATAATTGTTCAAAGATTCAGTAATAAAAAGAAGATGTAGGTCTAGAGATGCATGTACTTTTTTATTTGATTCAGCATAAACTGTTTTTTTTACAGTGCTTCCCTCATCTTTTTGGAAAATATTTTAATATATGAATTGTTGTTCTGTAAAGCATTTCGAGCTGCAGTTTGAGTATGAAAGGTGCTAAATGTTTAAGTTTATTATTATTAGTAGTAGTAGTATATGACAGCTAACAGGTAGAAACAACATAACTTGTTTATCTATTACGAAGCTTGGGGTTGTGATAAAATAGCTTTTTGGCCAGACTGTGTTTGCAAATCACCCCTTTATCTATGACCGTGTATTTTAAGCACAGGTAAATTTACTGGCCTGAAGGGAAATTATGTAATCACTCCCTGGTCTGAGGCGGTTGGTATCCAGGCACCAGAGCTGGTTTAGGACCTCAGTGAGCTCCTGGTTGGCCTTGACTGGTTGCATGTGACTGTGAAAAGGCAAAGAAAATTAACACAGTGAATTAAAGAGTAAGAGCTGTAGTAAAAACAGGAATGGTACAGTGGGACTGGTCTGTTTTTGAGACAGAAGTTGCTGTCAACAAAACCAAAACCATGCTTGTATACAGTAACTAATGCATTTTGTGGCTCAGTAATTAACATATTTCAGTCCTGTATCAAACAGAATTTTCAACTTGTTTCTTGTTTGTTATTTTGGGCTAGTTATATATGATATATTCAGGCTCTGACCAATATCATAACATTATCAAAAGGTTAACCTAAAATTTAAAAAAATGTTTACCCCTAAACCTTGATGCAGGTAGATTAGGTTTTATTTAATTTTGAGGTGGCAGAAATCCTAAAAAGCTCAGCAAATAAAACCATATCTGCATGGTTGCCAAAATACTTGTATGGCAACTATAGGTCTGGTGTTTTGTTTGGTTTTTTTTTTTTTGCTCCCAAGGGCACAGTCGACCACACCTGTGATATTAATTTACAACCTCAGGGCCCCCATGCTGTAACTTCACTTCCAGATGAAATTATCTGGTGCTACAGTAGCTAAACAAATGTGATTTAAGGAATAACGCGAGACCATGAACAGGTGCTTTTATAGGTTTAAAACTCTTGTATCTACTCAGTCTCTTTTTCATCTAACATTATCTTTCAAAAAGTGGCTTTACAATTAAAAGTATCCCAAAAATAACAGTAACTGACACTTACTTCCTGCCATAAATGGGAAAGAAAAAGCTGAGTATGAATATGAGTATGAATCAAATGACAGGAAGAGGAACAAGACAGAAACTCATCTGTTCTTTATTTAGCCTATAGGACAGCTGCTGTGGCAAAGAGACAGAGACTGTATCTAGTCCACAACGTCCTGCTTGCTCTGCTTTATAAGTCAGTCTACTAATCACCACCGAACACTGTTGCACTCCCAAACAGCAGCCTTCAATTCTGCACAAAATATATCCACTGTACAAAATAGTATCTCCACTGCTAGGCCTAATGTCTGAATCAGCAAGGTGTTTTACAAGATAACAAATAATGATGACTTTTTCTAGATATTAACAGCAAAAGGAACCACAGGATGTGTAAACACACTGACTAATGTTTACACCAAATAATACTACGTCGAATATCAAACAAGTGTTAAACGGTCGGAAAGCCGCTACAAGTATCAAAACTCAGATAGTAAGAACAGGAGTACTTTTGAGAGATAAATTCTAAAGTATCTCTGTTATTTGACACCCAAACCTTACCTCCTCGCCATCGCTTGACTTCTCACACCCTCTTCGAAAAACACTAGTTTGATGCCGAGTTTTCTGAGGCGTCAATCATGACGTTTACAAGGAAAACAGCCAATTGTTTGAGAGAAAAACACCCAAACCCCTCCCCTTGCCATTAAAGGAGAGGATCCTGTCTGTGGTTTTATTAATTAACTTTATCATTAATGGCTTGTTGTGATTACATTCAATACAGGCAGGCTAAACCCATTATTGTGTATGACAGAAACACTTGAGTTTTCATAGTTCCAGAGAGATCTGCTATTAAAAACAAAACAAACAAACAAAAACTTAATAAATTGTATTTTTTCCATCCTGACTTGTATAAACATATAGAACAAATGAAACAGTAATGAAGATATTCACTAGAAACACTCATTAATATAAAATCCCGTGGTTTATTTGCATTGGAAATTATCAAAAATGCAAGGTTTTGTTGTTAATTTATCATATTTCAAGATCAAAGATCAAAGTTTTTTTTATTGTCAGTTAACTATATGTGCAGGACATGCAGAAAAATCGAAAATACTGTTTCTCTCTCACCTAATATTGAATGCCCATACCATTTAAGAAACTAAAATAGAATAAAAGTAGAATTAACACAGAATAAATAGAATATGAAAACTGAATTCAAGTAATTAGGATAAACTAAATGGTACAACCTATGATACAACAGGCTATGATATTTAAATTTAATAGACTACAATATATGATTTATACACAGTAAAATACATAATTATTCTGATTGCACCTTCTAGGCTCCAAAATAATGCATTTTATTATGAATGATGTACAATTCAACTCCTCAATTTTTTCTAAATTAGAGGGTTAAAACAATCAAAATTAGGTTCACAATGGTACGATTTGAGGTGTTTATTTTGAGAATTCCAAGTAGTTTATATCGTTAAAATATCGAAATCAATATTTGGCTTGTCACTTTTTTAAAAAGCAACTTCATGAGTACCCAAGAGTGCCTGATGCGCACAACACCGACTTTTATTTTGAAAACACCTGTTCCCCAAGACGCGAGGATAGAGGTTTGCGCAAGCGCAATAGCTGCACACGTTATTTTGGATTTGGAAGTGCGAGCATAAACTATTCGAGATATCGTGCTTAGAAGGTTTACGGCGCCGTTTACGTTGTTTATTTTGTCTGCATTTTTCATGAAGGTCTATTTTTGCACTGTTTTTAAGTGTCGCTCAAGCAAAGCCACAAATTATAGACAGAAGAAATTACAGACGTTTTAAGAAAGCTAACGGGCTAGCTTAAGCCACTGTAGCTACTTAAGTAGCAGCATGGCAGCTGTTCTGGAACTGATTGCTGGAAGTTACGAGCAAGTCACCTTTGGTTACCGAGTGAAACCTGATGAGAAAGTAAGTCATGTTTAGCAGTTGTGTAATTACCCTGGCATTTAAAATTTAAACTGAACTGTTAATGGGATCGATGGGTAGAAAAAAAAAATCCCATGTCTCGGATGCCTGAAAAATCGCGACACTTCTGTAGAGATGATAAAGACATTAAACCTGTTCAAGCTATTGCCAGTTACCTTCCTTTTTAGCCAAATGAACATTCCCACCATTTAGAATGCAGAGATCAAATGATCCACTACCTCTAAGTTATATAGTTCCTCTCTCCACAGGATTGTACATGCCCAAAGTTGCACAGTTGATCAGAACACATAATCCAACCACTTTGCCCCTTTGAGACATCTGTTTTGTGGTTTATTTTAAGCAGAGCCAATCTACCGACGTCAGCTCTGGTTAGAGAAGCTGTTCTTTCTCTGTTAAGATGCAATTTGATCCCTCTATTGTCAGTCATGATGAAGTTCGAGTACATATACTCAGGAAAAGAGCATCAAATTGGCTATGGTCAAATTGCTTTCACTTAGAAATGTTCTTAGATGTCTGTTTAGGGCAGTATTTGACTTAAAGCAGCCAATATTAACAAGCAAAGATGTGTGAAGCTCAATTGTTGTTGCAGTATAAACACTACAATGTTTGTTTTTCCTCCCTGTTTTCAGCATTTTCAGCAGTTAATAGTACAAAAACTGATAGGTCCCAAACTGTTTGTGTGTTTTCCTTGTCATGCAGGAGTGGAACGCCAAGGCAGACTTCACACATCACGCCCACACAGCATCCATATCAGCTGTGGCAGCCAGTCAGAGGTTTGTTGTCACAGGAAGCAAAGATGAGACCATACAGATGTACGATATGAAAAAGAAAGTTGAGCACGGTGCTTTGCTGCACCATGATGGTGAGTAGGTTCACTATAGCTTCACATCAAGATGTTTTATTGATCAAATGCATATACAACAAGTAGCCCTATGATTACTAAGAGTTCTGGTCTCCTAAAGATGTCAGTAGCCTGTGGTAACATTCATATTTTTAACCCTTTCTTTACACATATCAAGAAGACAGTTTTTAGAAACAATACTTTTTATGGAAGGAAGGATCAATATAAAGACAAATTTTTTTGATATATTTATGATAGTTGTGCAATTAGACCACGTGAAATTAGGAGGAAAATAGAGATTATTACACTAGTTAGCTTGTAACAAAGTCACTAGAGAATACAAATAATTACTCGTGTTCTGTTCTATAAAGAAAAGGTAAAAAGTCAGGAAAGAAAGGAAAGAAGTGAGAGTGGAAGGAAAGGAACTCCTGACCATTTTTCTCTTTAACGCAGTACTATAGCAAACAGATTTTGCCTCGTGATTTGATCCAGCTGTTAGGTCCTGATTTACAGTACAGTTATCCTGACAGCTCTTCTTGGCTGATGGAACAAGAAGTATAAAATATTACTGAAGATTTGACCTTGTTTACATTTTACCAGCTGTTAAGATGTAAGAAATCAAAGACAGTCACCTGAGGTCTGAACACCTTGTTTTGCACAGGTACCATCACCTGCCTGGAGTTTTATGGGACATCTCATTTACTGAGTGGAGCAGAGGATGGACTCATATGTGTGTGGAGCACAAAGAAGTGGGAGTGCCTGAAATCCATCAAAGCTCATAAGTATGTCCACAGAGGGAGGTGCTGCAGAAGCACTGGCAAGATTGTGTTTGTGTGATGGTTATCCTTTATTTTGTGTCTTGCTTAATCGTCTTGTTTTGTTAGAGGCCATGTCACATCGCTGTCTGTCCATCCCTCTGGGAAACTTGCACTTTCAGTGGGGACAGACAAGACTCTCAGGTAAAATTCACAGCTCTGCTCCAGAGTCATTGAAGCAGGTGTGTGGTTTAATAGGGACATTAGAAGTGACTGTTGCATCTTTTTTTTTATCCCCCTAGAACGTGGAATCTAATCAATGGAAGATCAGCTTTTATCAAAAACATAAAACAGAGTAAGTTTTATAGTGAAGGTAATATATTAACCATTTTTCAGAGATATTCATACATTTGAAATGATCTGAGCTAGAGCTGCAATAATTAGTCAATTAATTTTCTGTTGATGATGAACTATTCTGATAATTGTTTAACTGTTCTGAGTTAAATTTATGCCTCTGTGCCAGTAATAGCCTTGGCCAGAGGCATTATGTTTTCATATTGTCTGTCCAGCCCATTCTTGTGGACGCGATATCTCAGGAACGCCTTGAGAGAAACATTTTTTTTCCCCAAATTTGGCACATATGTCCACTTGGACTCAAGGATGAACTGATGGTCAAGGTCACAGTGACCTCACGTCTGTCCTGTACTCATGAATTTGGCTGGTTGGTGGGGACATACAACCACGATAACCTTTGTTTATGTATGAAAGCAAATCGAATATTTTTGGAGTTTGGGCTGTCAATTGCACCAAAGAAAGACATTTAGATGTCACTTTGGGCTTTGAGAATTTGTGGCACTTTCCACCCTTTCCTGACAAATAGTCGAATATTTAAGAAAATTGTCAGATTGCTAACAATCAAAAATAAAGTCCTAACTTCAATGCTTTTTCTGTACACTATTAACAGATGCACACATTGTCAGATGGTCTCCAGATGGGGATAAATATGTGGTGGTGCTAAATGACAAGGTGAACATTTATGACCTGGAGACAGCTTCTGTCACGGGAACCGTCATAAATCCCAAAAGGATCTCATCTGTGAGGTTCTTAAATGTGAGTTCTCAGGCTGTGGTTCTGAATTATACTTTTGAGTGTGATATAATGGTTGAGATAATTGGTGTCTGCCTGGTAATCACACCAAAACATGACTGTAATTAAATTAGAATTTCAATAGAATACCTGTGTTGGAATCCTACTTGTTTTTCAGAACTCCATCCTCGCTGTTGCAGGAGACGATGAAACTGTGAGATTGTGTGACATTGGAAAAGAGAAATGGGTGTGTGAGTTCAAGGCTCATGAAACCAGGTAAATTCACAGTGTTTATCACTTCACTGATCCATCTCTGTCTGAAAATTATTAGGTACGGGTGTTTTCACCGAGTATTTGTTTCTGATGATGAGAAGAAAACTTAAACACCAACATATGTATCTTCTGATGCCTGATACATTTCTTTTGCATCTCATGTCAAACTGGTGAAAAATAAGTGATTGAACTCTCATTGTTTTATGATTTCAGGGTGAAAGCAGTTGACAGTTTCGATATGGAGGATTACTGCGTGATGGTGACTGCTTCCAACGATGGATTCATCAAAATGTGGAAACTCCAGCTTAAAGAGGCACATCTCTAGTATTGTTTTTCAATATATGAATAGAAGCCATTTACTTGTTACTTCAGCCAAATTTCTTAAACATTTACATTTTGCAGCAACAGTGCATGTTTTAAAAATGTCTCTCAGCGTCATGACCTGTTGACATATTGTTTCTACTTTGCAAAGCAGAGTAAAGACTAATTCATGTAGTTATATTCCAATGTAATCAGGTAAATGGTAAAAATTTTCAAGAACAAAGTTATATAAACAAGTCTGCAAAAGAAAAAACAGATTAGCAACATTACCTGTTAGTTACCAAGCTGCTGCTGATCTCTTGATGTACTCTGGCTGTCTAACAGGAGCTGGCATCTCCCACCCTCCTAGGGGAAGTAAACACAGCAGCCAGATTGACGTGCCTGGCTGTGTGGAAACCTTCATCAGTTCAGCAGATCAATGAGGAGCCCGCAGCTGAAGCGACAACAGCGAAAGGTGATGTCAGGCAAACCTTCACTTTATTATGGTGATATGTAAGAGATATAGTAATAGCTAATAGGTGGCATAGTTTGGTTTGTGTAGAAAACTTCAGTACTAGAAAACTTAACGCTACAAAGGGATGTTCCTGAAAAAATTGTATTTGTGTGACTGTCGTTCTCTAAATAAATACAATATTTTAAGTTTTCACATTTTTGGTTATCACTGTAAACCCTAACCGTCTGCTTCTGTCCTCAGAACTTGCTCAAGAACTTTCAAAGAGGAAAAGAGTCCGAATTGCAACAGAAGAAGTTGTACTGGAAGATGAAAGCAAACCCCAAAAGAAGAAAAAAGGTGGTGGCAAATAAAAAGAGCAGCAATAAAAAAACATTCATTCATGGACTATTTTAAATTGGGAGTTTTTGGTCAAATATGCCTTTATTTGTTGTGATTTCCACAAATTGGTGATGAATACAAGTTAGCATTCATATTTTGATTTTATGTTTCAAAAATACTTTTGCTGTGAGCACCAAAAAGAGAATTGTGAAAAATGATGGGCAACAATAAAAAATAAAAAAAGATTAGAATCAATGCATTGATTTATGTTTGAGTCCAACATGCATTTGCTCATTGTTACCACAGGAAGGTGATGAAGCTTAGATGAGCTTCAAAGTCTGTGTTTTAACGTGCTTTTATTGTTTTTGTATCAAGACACGTGTCTGTAATTAGGGATTTATTATTGTTTACTGTACACCTGTACAACTGTATGAACACTTCCGCCTTAACGTCTGTGTTCATGAAGCTCAAAATGTTTCAGGTTAAAATAGTCAAATGTATAAATTCAATTGTATACATAGTTAATGGTGGTGGTGTACTGGACTACACTATATTTAGAGGTGTCTGTGTTTGGTTTTCCCAGCTACGTCCATGAGAGGATCAGAATATTAGGAGCAACTCTAGATATACTGTAGTATACTGTATATATATATATTTTTTTTCATTTGAAAGTCTAGCCAGCTAAAACTTTTATTTTGAAATTTGGCCGTATAATCCCGGAAGTGTAAAAACTCGGAAGTTGCTAATTGATCAACTTCATCTTCAGGTCGTTTTCGCATACTGATCGTGAAACGTTTGATGCATGATAGAGCTGTAAACTGTTAAACCGACTTACTCCTCATAATATCAGCAGGTTGACTGTGGTTGTGGCTATGGACTGGATCGGGTTCAGTTACGCTGCTCTGGTGTCAGCAGGAGGAATTGTTGGTTATATGAAAGCAGGTAGGTGACGCCGGCAGGGAAATCTGTATAACATGACCTAAAACAGGTCTGGTGTAAATTGGTCAGAATCAAAGGGAATTTGCATCAAATCCAGGAGAAACAGTAGGGGAAGTAACTACATCTACGTATTTAAGTACAATTCTGGGGTAACCTATATTACTCGAATAGTTATATTTCCATGTAATCTTTGGACAAAAGAGGTGAAACTATCCAGTATTTCATAAAAAGACAAACATTAGGAAAATGTCTTAAAACTGAAAACAGATCTGTATAACAGAACTTTGTCTTCTAGTTATTTCTCCCTCACATTAATCAGCTCAGGACCTTTCAGAATTATCTTGTGAGGGTCCGACTCCTAAGTTGAGAACCAGTGAACAGAACTACTTAACTGTATATAAAGTAGAGAAAAACTGCTCCACCACAACCAGCTGCAACAGTAAGATGCTTCTTACACATTACATTAATACGGTATGCCAATCAAATATCACTCAAGTGCTTTTCCATCCATCCATTATCTCCACCGCTGCATTGAAGTCAATGACAGAAGATGTTCTAGTTTCTCCATTGACATTGGCCTCAAAGGACCAGAATGCAGGACGCCCACAATACACCAGATTTTAATTAGATTGCTTTTCTTCTTTGTGCTGTAACTGACCTCCACCTACTCTTAGTTGTCAGTTTACTAGGTATTTTTAGCTACAATAAATCTTTAATTTCAAAATAAAACTTTTTTCCACAGGCAGCGTCACCTCCCTGGTTGCAGGGCTCCTGTTTGGCCTGTTGGCTGCAGTCGGTGCTTATCTGGCATCTCAAAATCCCAAGAATGTCTGGCTTTCACTAGGTGAGCGAGTTCACTTTGTTAATGGTATGTGAGAGTCCGACTGCAGCTTTCACAAACCTGTAGCAACGACTGTCTCCCTCTGCTGAGGAAATGCAGCCACCTCAGGAACTCTGGCCGTAGTGATGGGACTGAGGTTTCTCAACTCCTGGAAGTTCATGCCAGCTGGTTTAATGACTTTAGTCAGGTAAAAACACCATTATTACACACTTTCTTTCTTACTGTTAGTGGGATGATAATTCATAGTATTCTGCTCTACGAAGATTGCAAATCTCTTATAACTATTGTCCTAATATAACTCTTGTCATGTTCTTGCAGTGGACTGATGATGGCAAAGATCATCACTGGAATGCTACAGAGGCCACACAAATCCTGAAAATACCGGCACGTATCTTATGTGCCTGTAAATATTTTCAACCTTAGCAGTCTGTATGGTTCAATATAAAACTTGATTTTATAGGAAAAGTTCATTGTACAACAAAACTGTTTTACTTTTCTAACATTTGAAAAAAGATCCTGTCTCTTTGAAAATCCACAGCAAGAGTAATGAATTGTTTTTCTGTGTAAAATATATGGGGCCCACTTTGCTAAATGTATCCAGTTAGAAGGATTATCCTTATTCATCTGTACAATTCCAAACAGTATTTAATAGCAGGGAAAATATAAAAACAACAAAGTGGTAAAAGACAAAAGAAAGAAAGAGGAGATAAAGAAAAAACTATGCAAGCAATCATGCCTTATTGAAGTGGGAATGACACAAACACCCTCAAGAACTAAAAACAGTGTTGATGTTTGTTTTTTTTAAGAAGCAAAACTTTGCTCAGTCAGGTTTTGGTACCACTCACACCTCCTCTTCTCACTGGAGCACAAGAAAAGGGAGTAATTCTTGGTTGGAGAACATCCTGTGATGCCTGATGTCTTTTCAACCTTTCAGCATTCACATACTTTTCAAGTTTAACTATGTTGTTTTCTCTTTACTCAACAGATTATATATTACAAACGGTGCTGACAGCCTGATAACAGTGTTTTATACAAGAGAAATGACAGCAGTCATTTTTTTACCTATCTGTATTGAAGGCCCTGTTGAAGTCATCTACCATGTTTATGAATATAGCACAGTCCCTGTAATATCTGAGATGTCATGTTTCTGATGACTGACTCAGGGAACAACTCGTTTCTGCAGAAACGAAGGCCGAGACATGATGACTCAAACTGAGCCAAATAATTCTCACATCCCCAATGGTAATGAAATGACATTGCAGGATTAGATCACCAAAATATCTTTGCACATAACTGAAATCGTGTATAAATGCACAAGTAACTGTGGTGTCTGTTCTTGCATGAGCTGATAGAGGCTCTCGTTCATCTGCTCAAACACAAAGCAGGTTGTCGTTTTCTCTGACTTTGTTCCGTTTCACCACATTGGCATGGTTCAGCTTCCTCGGTGACTAATAACACAAAGTATTTAAGCAATGATATCATGTTGAACAAGACATCACAAATTTAAAAATGTTAAAAATGCAAAACCAAGCCTTATTCACTTTTAGTCTCATTGTGTTAAGTTAGAAAACCAAGTCTGATTTAGCGAACGTTAGTCAGAAGCTAACCTTACCTGCCTGTCAAGTCCTCATTTTCAATCACACAACATTTTTATGAAATATTGCCTATGTCTAGTATAACATATGTAAAACATAAGTAGAGTACACCTACCACAGGGGAGGTAGCCCCAGTCTCAGGTGACTGTGTTTCTGGCAGTGGAGAGACACTTCTGAGAGTAGAAACAAGTCAAACTACCCTTATAAGGCTTGAGAACAAACAAACTCAAATAACCAAACACATGTACATATATTGTGCACTGGATTTATGCATTTGCAAGGTCAGAGTCCTGTCTCCCATCTAAGCACTTGAGAAAGCCAGTATCCCAAATAGTGGTAGAGCCAATTACTCTAATGTGTGGGTGTATAAAGTAAGTATAGAGAAGAGTATTAGGCAGTCTCAAACCAATCTCAGATAGATGGTTAACAATTAAACTCCTTTGCCTGTAGGACATGAGACAAATTTAAAAAAAAATAGACGGCCATGGTGGGTATGTTGGACAGGCAGGCAGTAAGAGAGAGAAAATATCCCTTCAGTACTTGATTTATGAGTTTATCTGGAGGTCCTACAACAGTAAACCGGTCCCACATCATAGAGGCAGTCAGATGGTTAGTCACCAAAACTCCTCCGCCTGTATGACATGAGAAGTAAAAACCAAGAGCCATATACTGTAGACCACCACGGTGACCACACTGGACAGACAGGCAGAAAAGGCAGTGTTTTTTCAGTACTCACCTAATGTGAGACAGACACACAAGCATGCTTTAAAATATTCTATATTTTGAAACTTTTCAACAAACAACTGCACCCTTCGCTCTCAAAATCCCACAGACATGCGGTCCCGCCCACTCCTTAAGACCCTATTGGTGATTGGTCTGCGAGACCGCCACTCCCGCCCACCCACTCACTTCCTTTCCCGCCACCGACATTTAGGTTGTGTTCGTTTTGGTCGTGCCGGTATGCCGCTTGTTAGGTAGCGACAAGGGCGGGGAACCCCACTTAGTTAAATGTACAGGCTGCACATGAGACGGCGACATGACGCTGATCTTCATCAGCTGATAGTAGTATTTACAGGAAATAGGCTTTTCTTTCATATTGAGCGATAGGATGCCTCTGCTTTTGACCACAAAGTGAACAGCCTGTACTGCGGGGTGAATGCTGCCCCAAAGACCCCAGACACCAGGATACAATCCTAATATCGTGTGATTTTATGGGTTTTATTTAATCCAGTCATGAATCTACACAGTCTAGATCAAGGAATATTCAAGCTCAGCCTGATTCAGATGTCCTCTCTGTAGAGTGTCTGATTCATAATCTAAAGTTGTGGGCTGCTGGGAGGAGACGGTGTCCACATTGTCTGATCACAAACAGGCTGCTGTTCACCCCTCTGTCGGACTCTAGTCATTTACTTATTTCAGTCATTCTTTTTTCAATAAAAATGGATTTGCAGTTTCCATCTTTGCTAGTGGTGTTTGCCTTGGTGCTTTTGTCATGATAGTGAAACTGAATAGGCCTGTTTGGTGGATAAAACAGCCCTGAGAAGATCTCAGTAGTGGGACTATTGGTATGTAGAGGCTTCAACAAATTATGAAAATAGATTTTGGGAGCAAAATTGTAGGTTTACTCTAAATAAAATCCGCCTATATAGGTCTATATAAATACTACCTTAGTAGTTTGACTGATTGTTTCTCATGAGTTTCCAGCTATGTACACTAGAGGGCGCAAGAGCATAAGCACATATGTTCTACTCTAAATGTTTGAGCCTAAGCTTGTTATCGATTATAGGGCAGCAACCAATTATGTTCATTATCAATTAATATGCCAGTTATTAAAGAAGTTTGTCATTGTTTAGTTTATCATGAAAGAAGAAAACAAGCGAATTTTAATTTGGAATTTTTGCTTACAAAATGAATTAATTACTCAACAAAGCAGCTTAATTAACTATTGACTATTTGGTTTAGCCATTAATTCACAGAATGTCAGCTGAAGCCTAATGACAACTTAGCTGATATATTGTTTTGTAGGCCACCAACTTTCAAATCTGTCTACATGTGTGTTGCAAGTTCTCCATCTAGTGGTTTACTTTCCACTTCACATACTATAGGCTATATAATGTAAAACTGCGTTTGAAGTAGAAATTTTATTTTGATTATATTTTCAGTAGACCTCTGGGCAGTATATGTCATTTTAAAAAGTAAGTTATTAGGCCAAATAAAGCAGTGTTGTGTTGTATTTATCAGATAATAACGAGCCGGTTCACTATGTGTCCTCAGACGTGCACGCATGAATTGTGAGGAATGAAAATCATGACCAGCATTCTCGAAATGGCCATATACCGTAGTAACATGACGTGCCATGCATTGCACCTAAAAACTGTGCAGTCAAAGTGTTGCCTGTTTGCGCGGCGAATAGCGCGTTTTCACCAAGGTCGTGCTTTTGGTTAATTACGGTAAGGTGGACCCGCAGTGTCCACTCAAGGATCAGGTGATCCACTATTCACGAAGCGAAGGTTCACTGGGGAAAATGCAAAATGACATATAGCAAATGTCGGAGCATAATTCATTCACATTTCCGCCTCAAATTAGGACTTGAATCCCGCCGCTGGAGCTCCAATGTAACGATGGTTTGTTAGGGCTGGTGGCGCAACTGCGACTTTTTTTTTTAATGTTTTAATTTATGAAAAATCACATTCACAGACAAATTTTGGTTTCAACATGGGGCTGTGCTACAGTTTGCGTCCCCGGCTCTTCGGGGACTTGAGCGGGTCTATCTCCAACGCTACCTCGGACTCCGACCAGCCTCCAGACGCCGCCTTGCCGACCCGCGCCGGGGGAGCTCGCCAGGAGGACACCGGGGGATGCGGTGAGACTTCGTCGCTACGCGGCGGCGGCCCGGTACGCCCAGGGGATCCTGCCAGGCTCCCGCCCGGGGACCCTCGCCGTGGAGACACCGGTACCGACGGCGTGCTTATACAAAACGGAGGTGGCGGCGGGGGAGGTAGCGGTAAAGGGGCAGGAAAGGACCGCAGCAGACGCTTACAGCTGCTGCAAAAGACTAGCACCCAAAAGCAGAAAAACTGGGACAAATTGCTGGTGGAGGAGAAGGAGGCCGAGAAGGAGGCGAAGAAAGTCAGTAAGAACATTGACAGGGCGCTGAAGGAGCTCAAACGGGAGTATAAACAGACACATCGGCTGCTGCTGCTCGGTAGGTTGTGTCCTTCTCTGTTGTTGTTGGACTAGGAAGGCGTTTTATTATTAGAAACCAAAACGCACCGGCCTTTCCAGAAATTATGTCACTGCTCTGGCGAGGCCTGCTGCCACATCTGTTGGCTTGGCTGTGAACATTGCCCCTGCGGCTGCCAATGACAAATGAATAAGGTTTCGGCTCCTGGTACATTGTAGGTATATAAGGGATTTTGAACAGCCAGTTGAACGTACTCTACACTGTACTATTAAAACAGTTCACCTGACAGAGACCACTGTGCTGTGGGCTATGTTTCCCCTGACTACTAGTAGCCTCCTGTAATAGTGTGGTCCAGTAGGCTAGTGTAGTACAAATGAAAAATAACCCTTTGACTGGCTGTGACATATTACAGTAATCTTTTTAAATAGATAAATGTATATTGTAGTTGGGTACAATGTAGTATAGTGGCTGGTAACACTGTAGAATGTTATCTACTGTTACATATATAATGTTATTTAATTGGCTTTAGGGTATAAATACCTTGCAAGACCTTAACGGGCCATGCTGTCTGGAAATTAGCTGTCATAGGGTAGTAGGTATAGTTTAAGAGTGTGTCTGTCCAGGTCCTTTGAGTAACAGCCACAGTAGGTTTTGAAAAATAAATGAATATATAGTGGTAGATTGGAGTGTGGGCTATACTGTAATATAGTTTATAGAGTATTATGTGGATAGTATAATGTCAACTTTAATATTTAGAGATCACTTTGGTTTTGGCTACTGGAATGTATGTGCTCTGAAAAATACTATAGCCGCTTGTGGTGTATTGTGACTTATGTCCAGTGACAAGTGAAGATTAGCCCTATGACTAACTTTGGCACATTTACAGTAAAGTATTTCAGTAAATAATAGAGTAGTTTGTGGTAGAGTGCAGTTTAGTGGGCTATGGAAAGATACAGTATGTAGAGACCTCTTAACTTTTAGATGCTGGACTATGTTTGCTGTGAGTATAGAGTAGTATAGTAAACTGTAGTGAACTTTGGTGTAGTGGTTTATCTTTGCAGGCACAATAGATGAAAAATTGCATTTGAATTATTGTGGCACATTAACAGTAAGGTTTCTCAAAGAATTATATAGTAGGCTCTATTATATAGTGTAGTATTAAGTATAAAATAGTGCTGTGATGTGATATCTGTTCAGGGACAACTCACAAATTATATTTTGGCTAACAGCTGCAAATTTACAGTAAATTTGGCCAATATATACATATAGTAGAGCAGAGTAGAGTAGAGTAGAGTAGAGCAGAGTATTTTGTAGTGTTATTGTCACTTGTGAAATATAGTAGATTGAAATATAGGGTATTGTGTATTAGGCTTTAGTATACAAAGATGTGTTTAAAACCTTTGGTCTATGTTTGCTCTGCATAGGATAGAAGAGTATATTATACTATATACAAGATTTCATTCCTGGGATCAATAAAGTTGT